AAAACAGAGAAGCACCAAATATTATAACAGCCTTCAGCAATGCCCTTGAGATCTACATTTTAAAGAGTTCCTCCATGGGCAAGCCCACGAAAGCCTTTTTGGTATTATTTTAGAGATTCTAGGTATGGATTTGAAGGAATCTAAGTCTTGAGAGACCCTAGGAATGAATCTTTTCAAGCCCAAATAAACTTTGAACTGTAGGTCTGACACAAGCAAATTAATTAGGAGGTTGGCATTCCCTGTAGCTGTGAATTAACTCCATTCTCAGCAGCTGGCCATAGAATCACGTGAAACCTTAGACAAGGGAGGGGAACCTGTGGCCTCTAGGCCACATGTGGCCCTCTAGGTCCTCTAGTGTGGCCCTTTGACTGAATCTAAATTTCACAGAACAAATCCCCTTAATAAAAAGATTTGTTCTGTAAAACTTGGACTCAGTCAAAGGGCCACACCCAAGGACCTAAAAGGCCACATGTGGCCTCAAGGCCAGAAGTTCCTCTCCCCTGCCTTAGAACATTAACCTTGGGTAATCAAGTTGACTTCTATTTAACACCTCTAGTGACAGAGGACACACCACCCTTGGAGGCAGACCATTCCATTTTGTTTGGTAGCTTTAAATTATAAAAAGATTTTCCTTCTATTGAGACAAATCTGACTCTTATACTTTCTACCGATTAGTCTTACTTTGGCCCTCTGAGGGCCACACAGAACAAATTTAATGTGTAGAATTTTAGAGCTGGCTTATCTAGTCAGAGCCTCCTATTTTACAGATGGGGAAACCAAGGCCCAAAGAGGGGAAGTGACTGCCCAAAGTTACAAAGCTGATATGTAGCAGCACAAGGGACTCGTCCCAGGCCTTCTAATTCCAAGCCCAACGCATTTTTCAATTATAATAATAATAACAATAACAACAACAATAATAATACCAGGCATTTATACATATAGCACTTTAAGGCTTGAAAAGTGCTTAAATTCCCTATTGCCTCCAGGATCAAATAGAAACTTTACTGTTTGGCTTTTAAAGCCCTCCATAACATGGGGCATTCCTACCTTTCCAGTCTTCTAATACTTTACTGCCTTCCAAGTACTCCAAGAAAATGTATGTAAAGTACTTTGCAAACGTTAAAATTCTATGGAAATACCAACCCCTGTCATTATAATGCATGTCTCTATTCTTTGGAAAAGAGGCATTATAAGCATCCCTCTCTTTGGGGGGTGTTTCCATCCATTCGCTGGGATAGGTAACAATGGCCTTGAGGTTCCTCAAATCTATCACTTCTAACTCCTGAAGGCTCTCCTCCATACCTTCCCATCCTGTACATATCTGTACATAGTTTGCGTGTTGTGTCCCCCATTAGACTGTGAGCTCATCAGGAGCAGGGACTGGTTTGTTTCTGTTTTTGTTTTTTGCTTTTCTGTGTATCCCCAGCATTTAGCACAGTGCCTGGAACATAGTAGGTGCTTAATAAAAGGTAGTTGACTGAATGACATATGTTATTTCATATGGTCCTCACAACAACCCTGTGAGGTAGTTCCTATTATTATTTTTGTTTTTTATTTCTATTATTGTTCCCGTTTTTCATGTTGAGAAACTAAGGCTGAGAAGTTAAGTGGTTTGTCCAGAACCACACAATTATTACTATTATTATTGTTGTTGAAAACTGCATTGCATTTGGAACTAGAAGACCTGGGATAAAGTCACCTGTGCTACTTACTAGTTGTGTGATCTTGAGCTGTCACTTTGCCTTTTGGGGCTTCAATTTCCTCTTCTGTAAAATAAGAGGCTCTGAGTCACTCAGTGTCTGAGGCAGGATTTGAATTCCGGTCTCTAGCCATCACAGACCCAGCTGCCTCGTTCCACCATATCATGTTGACTCTTGTGCTTTCCTCTACCTGAGGAGTCAAAAATCATTTGAAGAAACCTCTAACCTCTATTCCTTCCCTCTATGTCGATTTTTCCTTCTAAGCAAACATTCCCTGGTTTCTGAATGGAGAGGAATAGCTGGAAACACCATCCCAAAGGAGACTGAGGCTCATATTCTTCTTTTCCATAGAATAGAGACATATATTATAATAGCAGTAGTTGATATTTACATAGTATTTTAAGGTTTACAAATCACTTTTGATGCATTATCCTCATTTGATCTTCACTACAATCCACTGAAGTAGCAGCTACAAGAATTAGTTATATAGTGTAGTTAGGAGTCTCAAGGCCACATGTGGTCTCCAGGTGGCAGGTTTCCCACTCCAGGGGAACAGAAACCTCACTGGTTTTAGAGTCAGAACCTGAATTCATAGCCTACCTACTTCACAAGGACCTTGTGAGGAAAATGCTTTGTACAACTGTAAAGTGCTGCCTAAATGTGACCCATTACTATTGTCCAGAGGCAATGTGATGGAAAGCGTCAACCCTAGGAAGACATGGGTGCAGTCCTACCTCTGACACACAAACCTGTGTGGCCACGACACTTAACCATTCAATGTTCCCAAGCAACTTGAAAACTTTTAAGCTTTTCCCAGGAGTTCTCTGAACTGATAAAATCACAGGTTTACCAAAAATGTTTTTCCTGCTGAGTCCCAAAATCACTATAGCCTTGTTGCGGAGAAGGAATTTTACAGCAAAAGGTCAACATCTACCCAGACAAATGCAAATGAATGTATTCTCCAAACTACTCCAAAAAGCCTTACACAGCTACCTGCTGTTGACAAAACTTTCTCAAGAACTCCCTTCTTTCTCTACTACCCCAATGTCTCCCTCTTATAGATTCCCATTCTCCTCTGACACTGCCACCACCCTAGCACAGGTCCTCATGACCTCACACCTGATCTATTGCAATAGCCTGCTGTTGGGTCTCCCCACCATAAGTCTCTCCCCACTCCAGTCCATCCTAAGCTGAGCTGCCAGAGGGATCATCCTAAAATGCCTTGGTACTACTCCATGAACTCCATCAGTTCCCCGTCACCTCCAGGGATCAAATATAAAATCCTCAAGACTCTAGTTCAAAGCCATATATAACCTGCCCAACTCTTACCTCCTTTCCAGGCTTCTTATACCTTACATTACCCTTACTCTTACTCTTACACCCTTACTCTTCTTGCTGCCCCTCAAACAAGACACTCTGTCTCCCAGCTGGTCACTTTCACTGGCTGTCCCCCATGCATGAAATTCTCTTCCTCCTCATCTCTGCCTCTTGGCTTCCTTCAAATGTCAATTAAAACCCCACCTTCTACTGGAAGCCTTTCTTGATCCCCTTTAATACTAGTGTCTTCCCTCTGTTGATTCTTTCCACTTTATTTATAGCTCGTTTGTACAGTTATTGCATATTGTCTTCCCCGTTAGATGGTGAATTTCTCGAAAGCAGGGACTTTTATCTTTCCTTGTATCCCCAGCGCTTAGCACAGTGCGGGGCACATAATAGATACTTAACGTTTGTTGACTGACTGTTCTCGGACCTATCATCTCTAAGGTCCCTTGCCGGTCTAAATGTAAGATCTTATGATCCAATTAGGCGATAGCGATAGGGCTGGCCAGGAGCAGGGGGATGATGTTCTTGAACCACCTGCAGCTGGGGAATTTGGTTGCTTTGGTTCAGCTAGAACTCACCGGGAGCAGTCGAATAAAACAACAGCATTTCCTATCTTCTCAGTAACTGTTTCGAAGCAGGAAGAAACACAGATGCCTTCAGCTCTGTAGCATTTAAGCAGAAGGGTCTGCTTTACCACTTCTTTCTCGTTTGCCTGCTAAGTTTGTAGAGGTCAGGTCCACAGGCAGAGGAGACTCGGTAGCTGAGCACAATGGGCATGCTACGTCTGAAGAAACTGCATCCTTCCAGGGGACCCAGGAGACCGAGTGGGGGTAACACTGGGGGGAAGGGCGTTGCCTGGCCTCCGGCTGGGGCGGAAAGTGAGCGAACTTAGCAGACAAAGCCCCCAAAGCCTGCGGCCCCCCTCTCGAGGATTCCTCAAGCCCCCCCTCTTCCCTCGGGTACCCCAACGCCAAGAGAGACAAGAATCCCAGCTCCCCGTACCTGTTTGCGAGGCAGGAAAGGAGGAAGAGAAAGGAAGCCTCGAATGAGAAGAGAGGAAAGGCTAGGAGGGGAGAGAAGAAGGTGAAGACTAGTCAGGAGTCCTCTGAAAGCAGAAGAAGCAGCGCCCCCCTCCCCATTCCCAGCTCCCGTTGGACACGGAAAAGCTGGACCACATCTTCCTGAGAAAGGAACTCTTTGTAAACTGGGGGGAGAAGGAGGGAAAATGGGTAATGTCGCGGAACAGCAACTAGCAAAGAGCCAAACTCAGAAACCGAACCACGGATAGCAAACACCTCAGCCCTGGCTCCAGAGCCCTCTGTACGTTCGTTCTTGCTTCCTACCAATGGTTTGGCTCACGGCTAAAGAGCCGCCTCTCTCTAGGAGCCCAGAGCGAAGCCCGAGTCGCCGGCGACAGTGGGGCTGGGGGCTGGCATCCCGAGCCCCCGACAGACGGAGCCCAGCTCTTAAAGTTGTACTGCGGGATGGGGAGTGGAGCATGTATACAAAAGTCTAAAAGTGGATCGATAAGCGGAGAGCCATTTCGGGGGAAGACCCCGAGGGGGCTTTACTTGGTTTATCCGCTCCCGTGGCGTAGGTGCAGATCGAGGCTCAGAGGTTGGTAGCACTGAGTGACTGGCATGTGGTGAGCGGGGGCGGGTAAGTGGTCTCGGAGAACGGTACCTTGGAGTAGGCACGTGTGTGGCCGGCTAGGAACCGACTGGTATCCCAGAGAAGCTTGGAGGGACAGTCAGGTAGGGATGCTACAGAGGCTTGGGATGAATAGGGGCAAGTGTCTATAATGAGGGGAGGGCTAGCACGTGTAGAGCTGGAGAGGTGCGTGGACTGAGTCCAGATCCCAGCCTTGGTCCAACAGTAAACGAGGAGTAAGCGGGAGAGGACTCACCAGGCAGGCTAAATACAACGGCCCCGCGGATTAAAAAAAAAAAAAAGCGGGTGCAGCCCTGGGACACTTACCTACCGCCCAGTGGCTCCCCCTCGGGTATATCTTGGCCATCAGGTTCTCCACGCCAACTGGCGGCAAGGGAGCCGCGGTCCCCCAGGGCGCTTCGCAGAGGACTAGGGTCAAGAGGATCAGGGAGATCTCGCAGCCCCGCATGGTAGCGCCGCTGCCTGGTCCCGGGGATAGAGAGCTGTAATCTCCTGTTCTCTGAGGTGAGTCCGGGTGGCAAGTTCGAGTCCTGCGCTCGGTTACCTCCAGAGGCTGGGGGTAGGGGAAGAGGAGGGTGACTAGAGGAGGAGAAGCTGCTGCCACTGCCTCTGCCGCTAGTTGCTGCCTCTGCTAGTAACTCTAATTTATATGGAAATCCGGGGGGGGGGGAATGGGAAGGGGGGGTGCTGTTAAACTACCAACTTCAGCAGACTGACGTCTCTCGAAAGAGTAGGCGGGGGCTACCGCTATCATCTCGGAAAACTATCCATCTTCCCAGTCTTTCGATGATGAGACTGTGTATGCGTGTCATTACCCACGTCGCACCCCCCCCCACATCCTCTTCTCCCCATCCCACTCTCCTCCAGGTTGGGTTTGACTGGGTACTCAGACCCTCCATCTTCATTTCTGTTCTCCCCACCCCTCTTCTTGGCCCTTCACAAAACAAATTCCTCACTCCCCAGCAACTCACAGGGCAGCTCCCAAAAGAACCCTCTCTGTCTCTCCATTTCCACCCCCACCCCCAAGATTACCCAGCACGACACCTCCTGGGAGGCGAAATCTAGAGGCTTTGTTAGTGGGGTTTGGCAACTGGACCTGTCTAGCTCTGAGCAACTGTTCCTAACTCTCCAAAACCTTTCCCTACACTGTCCCACCTTTCTTCCCAATTTCCGTTGGACTGGCCCCCATCCCCTTAAGCCAAAGAGGGATATGACCCAGCAGCAAATCCAGCCAGCGCTTCCCATGGTCACAATTCACAGATAAGTAAGGACTGCATTCATTTTGATTGTTGCATCCTTTGTTCCTAACTCAGTAAGACTTGGGCATATAGTAGGTGCCTAATAAGTGCTTGTTGCATTGAATTAAATATAGTCCATTTGCTTGGTAAATCCCAACCACAGTTTTAGAATCATCCTGCTGCTCTATTCTCAGCTCCTAGATACTGAAAACACACACACACACACACACACACACACACACACACACACACACACACACACACCCCTTTCTGATTCTCAGGTGTGGCCCTGTATGTCTGTATGGATAAATAATGCAATACTGAATAGGAAGGGAGCACTGTGCTCTGATAATACAGCTGCTAATAAGAGTGTCATTGTACATGCTGTCCTCTTCATACACGTATAGCTTCTAGACAATACACGAACAGGCTGTTTTTATGAAAAGGCATTTAGTTAGAGGGTATGAGTTTACATCTCTCTATTATCCTAAACTTTATCTAATAGAGCTGTGATCAAACAGAAAGCACACAGACAAAAAAGCTGAGAGCATGAGGGCAGGATCCCAGCCCTGCTACTCACGTGTTATCTAGGTTGCCACTTAGCCTCATTCTCATACTTTTTTAAATCTGTAAACCATGGGTAATCAGACTGGTCACCTGCCTAAGTCCTGAGGGTCTAAGTGCCATAGGCACTATGGTGACAGGCACCATAGAAATGCATCAGTAAATAGACATGGGTAGGCTGCTATTGTCTACGTGTTGGCTGAAAGAACGGGTAATTGTGGTTGAATAGTTAGAGGGGCATGTTGCTCACGGTGGATCTGTTTTCTCTGGAAGTTACCTGTGTTGGATCTCTTGATAAATTAAAGAGATGTTGTGTTGTGATTCTTCAGAATAAGTTGCTATCTGATATGTTTCTTTGTATTTATCTAGCATTTTGAGGATGGGCATTCCATTCTGGGACAGGTAAATCTTCTGAATGTCTGAGTATTCTTCGGCAGAGAAGGGAGGGAACAAATATCTGTTAAGTGCCTACTATGTGCCAGGCATTTTATAAATATTTCATTTGATCCTCACCACAACCCCAGGAGCTGTTATCCTCATTTTGCAGTTGAGGAAACTGCATATAGGGGTTAAGTGACTTGCCCAGCTAGTATCTGAGGCAGAATTTGAACTCAGATCTTCCTGACTATAGGCCCACCATCCTATCCACTGCACCACCTATTTGACAGCATATTTTAGCATATGGGAATTGGTACGAAAGGGAAAAACAATCACTTAGCCTCATCATCAACATTTGGAGAAAGTGGAAAGAGCCCTAATTTTGTGATGAGAGGACCTGATTTCAAAGGCCTGCTCTTTTTCTCTACCATTTACTAGATTGTGACCTTGGGGAAGTCATGTCATCTCTATGAACCTCAGTCTTCTCATCTGTAAAATGAAGGACTTGAACTGTGTAGTATTTAGGCTTCCTTCCAGTTCTACATCTACGATTCTCTGATCATCCTCATCCTCCCAAGAAACTGTTCTAGAAAAGAAACAGCTAATGTCATAAGGTCATAGGTGACCTTATGCTGAAAAAACTGAAATGCTGAAAAAAAAACCTCAGGTTTCCCCTAAATCCAACTACCTCATTTTACAGATGAGGAAATTGAGGCCCAAGAGAAATGAAGTGACTTGCCCAAGGTCATACATCTTGTAAATGGCAGAACTGGTATTTGAACCTGGCTCCTTCAAATCTTTTTTACATATGTCACACTCCTTTTCAAACCAAAGGGAGGGGGGGTCTGATTTTCTTTTCCTGTTTTCTAACTTTTGTTGTTATTGTTGTTTTAAATTTGTAAAGGCCCTCCTCAGGTTCTAGGGCAAATCTAGCTAACACCTCCCTACCCATTATCCCTTGGCCCAGGCCTGAGGAACATGTGTTCCCTTACCTAACCCTAGCAGAAATGTAGGATATGTCTTTTCTTCTAAGTTTACCTGAGAGAAGAGTGGGAGAATTGTGTGTGTGTGTTTTTTAAATATACTTTATTAAGAAACAAATATTTTGAAAAATACAAAGAGAGCCCAGGATCCTGAGCCAATTCTAAATTATACAGTTTAGATAGACTGACATGGCTTAGGGAGCACTTGGCCTCCCATTTCTTTTTTTTGATTCAGTCTTTCTTAGGGAACCCTGGCCCAAAGTTTTAATTTTAGATCTTAGGTATTTATTCCTCCCAAGTTTTCCTTGTGGTCTCCCTTCCTTCCCTGGAAAGGTTTGAATGGAAACCCTTGGCAATAGCCCCTAACACAATAAGACAATAGTCTGTTAAGCACCAGAGGAAAAATAAAAATCCACAACATACTTGGCCATGTGAAAGCAACACCCCCTGGCCAGATCTTTTGGGTCCCTAAACGCTTAACTGGGAGCGTTATTCCTTTTATGAAAGAGAGGAGAAGGACTATTACCCACACAGAACAACATTCAAATAGAAGCACAAAATCTCACATGTGACCTGGTGGACATCTAGTCCAACCCACGCAATCCCCTCCTATGTCTGTAATAAGCATTTACCCAGCATCCTCTTGAAGACCTCCATGATGGGAAAATCATTACTTCCTGAAGCAAATCTATGCCACATTTGGACATATTTAATTACTAAGAAATTTTTGTTAAATCAAGCTAAAATTTGCATCTCTACAGTTAGAACACATTGCTTCAAGTTCTGATTTCCATGAGTTAACAGTTATCATAGGAACCTCTGACAGCAGTTATTATAGTAACCCTGACCCAAAGCCCATTGATAGGTGACTCTCTCTTTTGGTGGAGATGAAGGCCCTGCCTTATATGAAGGGCAGGGTAGTGTGGGAGAGAGATAGAGAGCTTCAGTTCTCAACAGTCCCCCCCTTTGGGGGTGATCAAGCTTCAGGTTTTCTTTGAATGTTGTCAGTTTCTTGCTTCAAAAGAGAAGATGGAAGAGACTGACTCCATGTTGTTGAAGGAAAAGTCCCTGGGAAGACATGAAAGGAGTGGGTGGTCTCTTGTTCCCAGTCTGCTTCCCTGGAGACTTTGGGGAGTTTCCCCTTGGGTGAGATCCAGATCACTGTCTTGGTTGAGTTGAATTATCTTGTTCCCCATGGGACAGCTCCTTCCCTCTGCATTGCCTCACATATATTATCTTATGTGTACCTTCTCTGATCTCTGTTTTGCTATGATTTGGATTATTATTATTATTATTTTTGCTATTCTGTATGTGTATTTACTGTGGAACTGTTATTAGGTGAGGAAGTGATCAAGCCTGGGGTCCTCCTTCACCCCAAAATAACAAAACAATCAGAAGTTAGATGGAAGCCAATCATACCCCCTAGAAGAACAATATTTAAAGGAACACTTCGATATACCTCTAGCCCACTAGCCCCTTTCTCTGAGGAGAACAGAGTAGTGGCCTCTGGCCCCAACCTCCTGCTTCCACTTGGAGAAGGGTGGGGGAAGAAGAGTCAAAGTCTACTCTGCTTTCCTTCCAGCCACACAAGGACAGCCCCTCACCACTCTTGGTCTTACCTACAGCACTTTCCTTACATTGTATACTGCTCTTTTTTTTTGTTTGTTTTTAAAGCCCTTCATAACCTGGTCCCTTCCTAGTTTTCCAACTTACTCACACTTTACTCACTCCATGTACTCTCCTGTTCAGTAACACTAGCCTCCTTGTTCCTCACACACAACACTCCATGTCCCATCTCCAGGCATTTGCACCGTCTGTCCCCCATACCTGGAACTCCCTCAGTTTTCCTCCTCAATTTCCTTCTCCTGGCTTCCTACCGGCAGCTGGTGGTACAATGGATAAAGCACTGCCCCTGAAGTCAGGAAGATCTGAATTCAGATCAGGCCTCAGATGCTTAATAGCTGTGTGATCCTGGACAAGTCACCTACCCTCTGTTTGCCTCAGTTTCCTTAACTGTAAGATGGGGATAATAACAGCACCTACCCTCCAGGATTGTGGTGAGGATTAAATGAGATAATACTTATAAATCACCTAGCACAGAGCCTGGAACAAAATAGGCGCTATGCAAATGCTTATTCCCTTCCTCCATTTCCCAAATTCCTTCAAGTTCCAGCTAAAATCTAATCTTTTACAAGAAACCTTTTCTGTTCTTCCATAATGCTAGTGTCTTCTCTCTGATTATTTCCAATTTATCTTGCATACAAGATAAATTGTTTGGATGTAGTTGTTTGTATGTTGTTTCCCCTGTTAGACTTTGAGCTCCCTGAGACTGTTTAGTTGTTTCAGTCATGTTTGACTCTTCCTGACCCCATTAGAGATTTTCTTGGCAAAGATACTGGAGTGTTTGCCTTTTTTTTTTTTTTGGCACGGCAATGGAGTGAAGTGACTTGCCCAGGGTCACAC